CAGATTTGAGTGCCCGTCGATAATTAATATTCATGGAGTCATTAATATTCATGAGCTAATTAATATTCATGGAGTCATTAATATTCATGAGCTAATTAATATTCATTTTTCTACTAGCTATGATTTAACTACTTTAATTATTTTAACTTTTATTTTAAATATTTCAATGTAAAGTTAATCTGATTTGATAAAAGTGAAAAAATATTTATACCTTATTTTTGCAATCACGTCTAAAATACAAAATGTACGTATTTTGAGATATTGACCTCTAACCTGGCAGCCATTTTTTTTCAAAGCGTGTCGTCCGTTTGTTACAGGCAAAGTGGAAACAAGAATTTAATTTTTTTTTTCCCAATGGAATGCTGGTATTAAAATCACATTAATAGTGAGAAATAAGTATTCCTTGTATCGCTGACTGAATATAGCTTTATGAATTTTATGATTGAGTCATAAAGCCAAAAACATCAATGAAGGTTACTACACTCGAGTGCAAGTGCAGATTAAACTGACAGCTTGACGCATTGCTACCGATTAAGTGAGCAAGTTATTGTTCAACTCGACAAATCCCACACACAACTAAACTTGCAATGGTAATCCTTCCTTCTGTTTATTTATCATTGTCTTCCCTTCCATTATCTTGATGTACGACTTATTTCGATCTGGTTCGTTTGTTAAAACTAACAGAATGTCAATCGCAGAAGGTTAAAACAAAAACACATTAGACCGATGTCACAGGTGTACCTTGATTTTGAACAGCGGTGTCTTCTTTCATTTTTTGTTGCGTCAATTTTTTGCATTTTTGCAATGTGTTTTGTATTAAATCCAACAAGGACAATATAATGATGATCTAGTGGCCAACATCCTGTGTGTATCATAAACAAATAGAATAGTGCCTACCGCCTACCAGCGTGGGCAGATCCCAGAGTGGAGTATCGAGTACACAATATGGCACCAACAAGGTAAAACCCACATCCCAGAGTGGAGTATACAATATGGCACCCGCAAGGTAAAACCCACATTCCAGAGAAGAGTATACAATATGACACCCACAAGGTAAAACCCACATCACAGAGTGGAGTATACAATATGACACCCACAAGGTAAAACCCACATCCCAGAGTGGAGTATACAATATGGCACCCGCAAGGTAAAACCCACATCACAGAGTGGAGTATACAATATGGCACCCGCAAGGTAAAACCCACACCACAGAGTGGAGTATACAATATGACACCCACAAGGTAAAACCCACATCCCAGAG